ATCAGTGGTATTGCACAGATTCTTTCATGAATAGAAATACTGAGACAAGTGTTGGTATTGCACAGACTTTTTTCTATCCTGCACAGATTTGTCTGGACATAGAAAAACAATATTGCACATATGGTAGTATATGTGCACAGTAAAAAACAGAGTGTCAATATAACTCTTAGAGAGTTGAATTTAACTTAAATCGAGTAAAATTTACTCTGTGGCCAGTGTCAATTTTTCAGAGTTAATTCTACTCAATTTAGTGTCAAAATTAGCAATGAAATGTGTGCAAATATTTAACACTGTGGTTTTATCACACTGTTCAGAGTAATGTGATTACACTTTATAGAGCTATTTTTTACTCCAAATTGACTTTAAAACTGACACTGTGTAAGAATATTTATTTTTCTGCAGCGTTATTTTTTTACATATTCACTAAATAATGCCATATTACTAAATTGCCCTGATCTAACCTATAAAATGGAAATAAAAAAAAACATACAAGGTTACAGTAACAGCATTTATTGTAGTTAACATAAAAAAACATTATACAATTATAATACATGATTGTCACCAGAGAAAGCAACATGGGACCGCAAATAAAGTTGTCATTCACTCCATATGACATATGGATGTTAAAAGGCCTGGGGTAATGCAAATTGTCCACATGAAAGACAACAAAATCTTGCTTTTTCCCTGGTCACTTGGTAGGCATGGAAATGTTCTTGAAATGTTCTTGTACACAAAGGCAAAGTGAGCAGCAAGAGTTTCTGGTGTATTATCAGAATTGACTCAATCTGATAAAACAGAGGCATTTCAGACTCTACTTTGCCACAAATAACCAAATGTGAGCGGTAAACCAACCCATTGTGTTTAGCCCAGTTCACTTTCATAGCTTGAACACTACTGGGCACCTGAATTGCTGTGGCAATTCCAGAACCTCCTTTTACCATCTCTGAAGACACCATTTTTCCTGGACCAATTTGTAAGCGACTGAAGGCTGTAGAAGATTGCCAAACATATGCCATATACTTCTGGTGGTTTTTTTTGCCAGCGTTTTGGTGATATTTTTCAATGACTTGAGTTGTTTCTTGAAAAAAATTGTGCTTTCCTTCATACCACATGCACCAATTATGTAGTACAGATCCAATTTTCTGAATGCAGCGAGGATGATGGACAAGAAAATGCTGCTTTGGTAAAAGTTTTTTCTGGGGATACAATGTCTTGAACAGTTTGTGGTGTTCCACAATCAAATGTTTTAAATATGCAAACAGACCTTGAGATAACATGGAAGAAAATACAATGTTTGCTATCTGTAGTAATAAAAGAAGTAAGGTCCAATGTTGGTCAGCAGAGGTTACCAAATCTCCAAACATGAGGGGAACATTCCTCAATAAGCACCATGACTGAGCTGCATTCAGTCCCAGATCATTAGACTCCACCTAAATTCACCACCGCTGGTCTGTTGTTTCTCTCCAGGAATCCAGAATCAAAACTTTATATTCTCAAATTCAGCTCCCCCAATGTAGTATGTTGTTCTTTAAAACACGCAAACTGTTAGGAAGTGCTCCTAATGTGTAGGAAGTGGAGCCAGAATGCGACGAGGGAGAAAGGTAATGATAATAATAAAAAGGTTTTTATTGCGGGACAGGAGTGAGGACACCAAGGAAGCAGGAGGGAGGAGTGCCGGTGAACGCTGGTCTTCGTGGAGGAGGTGAGAGGGTATCCAGGAACTCCCGAGGTGTGCTCCAGTGTGGGGG